GTCACTCACAAGTTAGTTTGATGTTACGTACATTATTAACATTACAGAATCCACATATTCCTGCCAGTTTTAATATGTATTTTGTAATCAACAAGTGTGTAACACCGGTCAAAGTTTGACACTTCTCTGGCCATTATCTCCGTAACCATTCAACTTTGGACATAGGTGTTTTGGGTTATATCGGCATACTTTAACATAAGGAACACCCTCCCGAAGTTTGGTCCATTCCTCCTGGGACACCCTGTATATATATATAAATGTAAACTGGTTCCCCACTCTGTGAAATGTTGGTATATTGAAATTACCATGTGTATTTACTTTATTTAAGACACATTTTTCATCGTAAAATTGAAATTGTCTTATACACCAGTGCCGTTTAGAGGAAGATATTTTATAATTTCTCCTACTTGAACCATTACGTGTCTTATGTACTGGGAAATATGGTACTTGCTGGTTGTAACTGATGATACAGTAAACTTATTGTACATGAAGTGGGGAAGGAAAGATTCTTATTAAGATTTAAAGCTTATATGGTCGATGACAGTGATAAAATCTACTCGGGCAACCAACCACATAAATCTGGATTGGATTCCAACATTTCGGAGATATGTGTCTCCAGTAATGAGGGATGACCATCATTCAAGAATTGATATGTTTGGTTGCCCTGGATGGTGTCTTGCTTAATTTACAGAGCAAGATATTGCAGACATAAGCTATGTATATACAAGGGGGTACCCAAAAGAAACCGAACTTATTTTTTTTTTAACTTATTTATTCAAATTTTAAGCACAAACCTTCAGTCCCCTTCAAAGTACTCTCCACTTACACTAATACACTTGTCTAGTCTTTTATTCCATTTTTCAAAACATTGTCTAAATTCATATTTTGAGATGCTTGACAGCGCCTCCAACGTTTTTTCCTTCACCTCGGCAACATCAGCAAAATGCTTTCCTTTCATGTCTCTTTTCATTCGAGGAAACAAAAAAAAGTTTAATCATTTCTGGACTCTTCTTTCAAAGCACAGCATGCTTCCACGCGACCTTGTTTTTGTTCAGCAGTCAGCAGTCGTGGCACAAATTTCGCAGCCACCCTTTTCATTCCCAAATCTTCTGTCAAAATTCGCTGAACTGAGCTCCAAGTCACTCCCGACAGCTCCACAATTTCTTCAATG